TGAGCCCAGGCTGAGGCAGGAGGATTGCTTGAGCCCAGGAGTTGAGGGTGCTGTGAGCCGAGGCTGACGCCAGGACTCACTCTAGCCTGGGCAACAGGAGTGAGACTCTGTCTCCAAAAGAGGCCAGGCATGGTGGCTCACGCCTGTAATCCTAGCACTCTGGAGCGCGAGGCGGGAGGATCACTCCAGGTCAGGAGTTCAAACCCAGCCTGAGCAAGAGCGAGACCCCGCCTCTACTATAAATAGAAAGAAATTAATTGGCCAACTAAAAATAATATACATATAAATCAGCGGCATGGGGTGCATGCCTGTAGTCCGCAGCTACTCGGTGAGACTGAGGCAAGGAGGGATCGGCTTGAGCCCAGGAGCGTGAGGGTTGCTGGTGGAGCGGAGGCTGACGCCACGGCACTCACTCTAGCCTGGGCAACAGAGCGAGACTCTGTGCTCAGAAAAAAAAAAAAAAAAAACAAGAGCTGAAGGAGCGAAGGTCAGGGCTGGAAGACAGACCTGGGATCTTGGGGACGTTGTCTGAACACCGCTGGATCCAGCCGCACGTGAAGCGGCCCGCAACCCTGCAGTTCGCAGTGTGCGAATCTCCTATGGCCTCTATTTGAGCCGGGAGGCGACAGCCCTCATGGCGCACGCACTGGTTGCTTGCAGGAGAAGGCGAACACGATTGAGCAGTCGAAGGGCCAGGTGTAGTCCCAAGTGGCTGGGACTACAGGCATGCGCCACCATGCCCGGCTAATTTTTTCTATATATTTTTAGTTGGCCAATTAATTTCTTTCTATTTATAATAGAGACGGGGTCTCGCTCTTGCTCAGGCTGGTTTTGAACTCCTGACCTTGAGCGATCCTCCCGCCTCGGCCTCCCAGAGCACTGGGGTCGCAGGCGGGAGCGCCCGCGGGCCGCCCCCGTTTCTGACGGCGCTCTCCCGCGCAGAGGTGCAGATGCACGTGTGCAACAAGGAGGTGTACGGCTTCCTGCCGGTGCCGCTGCGCTCCCACAGCGGCCTCCAGGACGAGGCTGAGAGCTTCATGCACGTGCAGCTGGAGGTCATGGGTAAGTCTGGCGCTCGCTGCCCGGGAGGGGCTGGGCCGCCTCCCTTTTGCAGCCGCCCAGCATCTATCAGTGAGCACTCATCGAGCGCCTGCCAGGTGCCGTCCCCGTGGCGGGCGCCGGGTTCGAGGGCGTGCATGGGGGACGCGGGTGGGTGGCCGTCCCCGCTCCCAGTGAGCTGGTTTGTGGGCAGCTGGACACAGCGTGCTCAGGGCCGTCAGGGAGGGCTTCCTGGAGGAGGTGGCGTCATGGAGCAGGAGGGCGAGCTCACGGGAAAGAGGGCCGCAGCTGGAGGCAGCGGCCCGGGCAAAGGCCGGGAGGCCGGAGGGAGGGGACCGGAGCTTTGGGAACAGGCGAGGTGCGCGGGCTCGAGGCCAGGCCAGGCCGGGGGCCTCAGAGGCCGAGGGTGTGTCCGCGTCTCAGCCGCGTCAGGACAGCGGCTCCTCTCTGCTCCCGCCGGTCCCCATGCCGCGAGTGGCACTCGACACTTCGACCTTCCACGACACTTTGAACTTCCACGACACTTCCCTTTTGTCACTGCAAGAAATTCCTTTATTGTTTCATTTTTATTTTTTGGAGACAGAGTCTTGCTCTGTTGCCCAGGCTACCGTGAGTGCCGTGGCATCAGCCTCGCTCACAGCAACCTCAGACTCCTGGGCTCAAGCGATCCTCCTGCCTCAGCCTCCCGAGTAGCTGGGACTACAGGCATGCGCCACCACGCCCAGCTCATTTTTTTCTATATATATTAGTTGGCCAATTAATTTCTTTCTATTTTTAGTAGAAACGGGGTCTCGCTCTTGCTCAGGCTGGTTTTGAACTCCTGACCTCGAGCAGTCCTCCTGCCCCGGCCTCCCAGAGTGCTGGGATGACAGGTGTGAGCCACCGCGCCTGTCCGCTTTTCCCAGTTTAAACCCTCACGCACGTGTCTGGTGTTATCTGTGGTAGGGAGAACAATCGATGTTAAAAACTCGAACAGAACAGGGACGTGAATGTTTCCCTGATCCCTTGAGGGCGAGGGTGAACCACACACAACAGACGGCTAGAAGGTCCGGGGGGTTCAGATGTGTGTGCAAATACTTCCTGTGTCCTGCACGGAGCTCACATTTTCTCCCCATGTGTGGGTACCTGCACCGTGCTGTGTGCTCAAAAATCTTTTGTGTAGCCGGGCGTGGTGGCATGCGCCTATGGTCCCAGCTACTCAGGAGGCTGAGCGGGGAGGATGGCTTGAGGCCAGGAGTCTGAGATCAGCCTGGGCAACATAGTGAGACCCCATCTCTAAAAAAAAAAAAAAACCAAACAACTTAAAAATGAGCCAGGCCTGGTGGCGCGTGCCTGGAGTCCCAGCTACTTGGGAGACTGAGTTGGGAGGCTCGCTTGAGGCCAGGAGTTCGAGGCTACAGTGAGCTGATTGTACCATGGCACTCTAGCCTGGGCCACAGAGTGAGACCCTGTCTCAGAAGAAAGGAATAAAGAAAGGAAGGAAGGAAGGAAGAAAAGGAAGGGAAGAAAGAAAGGAAGGAAGGAAGGAAAGGAAAGGAAAAAGGAACGGAAAGGAAAGGAAATGAAAAAAAAGGAAAGGACAGGAGAAAAGAAAAGGAAAGAAAAAAGAGAAAAGGATCCTTTGTACGATGAGATTTGGGCAAGACGCACAGTACGATGGCCGCCCCCGGCGGGTGGGAAACCCGACAGCTCGCTCCTTGCCCACGTGACAGGGGCATCTGTCAGCTGGCGGGCCGTGGCCCTGCGATGCTGGCGCGTCCCCGCCTCCCGCCTTCCCCAGGCCCCGCGCCCTGCCCGCCCGTCGTCCGCGTGCGCCGCGCGCAGTTGGCGCAGACGCTCCGCCGCGGACGCATCTGCTCTGGGCCGCGTGGCGGGTCGGGCTGGCCCGGGGACCGCGTGTCCCCTGGCCAGTGTGCTGAGGGGCGCAGCGGGTGCTCCCCGTTTCCCTGGCGCCGCCTGGGCGTCGCTGTTTGTGCGCCTGGGGAAGGTCCAGACGCGTGGCCCCTGGGTGCACAGTCCGGGGACGGCGACTCCAAGGCCACCGTCAGTCCTGACACCAGCCGCGTGCTCAGGGGTCCCCAAGAGCACGCCCCACTCCCACGGCTCGCAGAGCTCTCGGGAAGCGGGCGCGGCGGGGCGGGGCGCGGCGTGAAGCGGGCGGCGGGCGGAGGCGCCCGGCCTGCAGCCGCCATCTCCCTGTCGCCCGCGGGCAGCGGCCGCTTTTCCCGGCGATGACGTGTGACCATCCCGTGCAGAGGCTGCTGCCAGCCGACCGGCCGGGCCCCGATTGTCCCGGGGTCGGTCCCGTGGGCGCGTCCGGCCCGACGTCCCCGCCTTCAGCGTCTGGGCTCGGAACCTGGGTCCTCGGATCCCAGAGCCCTGCCCGCAGTGCTGAGTGACGCAGGCAGGTGACCACCGGGGACGAAAGACACCCCAAGACACAGTGGCCCCGGGGGCTGTGCGCGGCCGGCGAGCTCACCCCCGGCCTTTGCTCCCGCCGGGGCGGGCGCGGGGCTCGCCGGGCTCTGCGCTCTCTCGGGCCAGCCTGGCCGCAGCCGGAGCCCCACCTTCCCGCGAGCCCGACGCCCACCGCGGGTCCCTCCTTCCTCGCGCGGGGCCGCGGGCGACAGCGTGACGTTGGAGACGCTCACTTGACGCGCTGTGAGGTCCCGCGGCCGCTGTGGCAGGGCCACAGACCCGGTGGCTCAAAGCAGCCAAGCCTTGCTTTCGGGGTTCCAGAGGCCCGCAGTGTGAAGTGAGGGGGTTGGCCGGGTGGCCCGTCCCCGGGGAGGCCCCGCCCTTGCGGCTCTGTCTCCCGCGTTCCCGGCGACTCTAGCGGACGCGTCCGCCCGTCCCGGGCGCTTTCCTAGTGTGCGGGTCTCTGTCCAGGTTTCTTTCTTTTTTTGTTGTTTGTTTTTTTTGTTTTCATTTGAGACAGAGTCTCACTCTGTTGCCCAGGCTAGAGTGAGTGCCGTGGCGTCAGCCTCGCTCACAGCAGCCTCCGACTCCTGGGCTCAAGGGATCCTCCTGCCTCAGCCTCCCGAGTAGCTGGGACTACAGGCATGCGCCACCATGCCCAGCTCATTTTTTCTATATGTTTTTCGTTGTCCAGCTAATTTCTTTCTATTTATAGTAGAGACGGGGTCTCGCTCTTGCTCAGGCTGGTCTCCAACTCCAGACCTCGAGCAATCCGCCTGCCTCGGCCTCCCAGAGCGCTTGGATGACAGGCGTGAGCCACCTCGCCGGCCCAGGTTTCCTTTTGAATAGACTCCAGCCAGGCGGTTCAGGGCCTCCCTTAATGATCTCATTTAGACTTGTCACCCAGCCTGGAGGACAGTGGTGGGTGGGCTCACAGTTCACCGCAGCCTCAGTCCTCCTGCCTCGGCCTCCCGAGTAGCTGGGACTACAGGCACGCGCCACCACGCCTGGCTGATTTTTTTGAACATTTTTTTGTGAAGACGGGGTCTCACCATGTTGCACCAGGCTGGTCTCAAACTCCTGGCCTCAAGTGATCCTCCCACCTCAGCCTCCAGAGTGCTGGGATTACAGGCGTGAGCCACTGCTCCCCCGCCTGTTGGCCCAAATTTTATAGACGAGGGCAGCCGAGGCCCAGCCTGGTCAAGGCTGCACAGCCCGCTGTCGTTGCCGTCTCCACTCTACGAGTGACTACCGGGTGCTTGCTGCCTGTCCCGCGCTGGGGACCCGTCCTGAGCGCACAGACCCGGTGTCCTCCTAAGGGCCAGGCGAACAGGACGGCGGGGGCGGGGGCGGCTCTGGCGGTGGAAGCCCGGGCGCGTGGGGCGCAGAGGAGGTGCCCGACTCAGCCTGCCGAGGGGACCTTCGTTCCCTCCCCGCGCATGGCCGCCCAGAACTGAGGGCGAGGAAGGGGACAGGGAGGGCTGTTCCAGGCCGGGACCTGGCGCGTGCAAAGGTCCTGCGGTAGAAATGGGGCCTCTGGGGCGGTGCCCGCGGCCCGAATGCGGTGGGGTCGGGGGCGGAAGCCCGGTTGGACAGGGGCCGGCCGGGCCAGGGCTGAGCTGCTCTGCCCCGCAGTGAAGCACCCGCCGGTGGAGCCCTCGCGCTTCGTCTCTGCGCCCACCAAGACGCCGGACAAGATGGGCTTCGATGAGGTGCGCGGGGCCTCCCGGGGCTGGGTTGCTGTCACGGCGGGGCTGGGCCACGGCGGGGGCTGGCGGTCGGCCCGCGGGGCGGCGGGACAGGGGTCCGACCACGCTGGGCCGCAGGTGTTCATGATCAACCTGAAGCGGCGGCAGGACGGCGGGCGCGCATGCTGCGGGCGCTGCGCGAGCAAGAGATCGAGTGTCTGCTGGTGGAGGCGGTGGATGGCAAGTGAGTCCGAGACCCGGGCGAGGCGGGTCGGCACGCGGGTGTAGACCTCGCTGGCGGATGGCGAGTGATTCTAGGGGGGTGGGGCGGGGTCTAAGCACAGGTGTGCAGCCCGCTGGTGGGGCGTTGTGGAGGGGAAGCCAATGCGCCCTGGGGAAGGGGCAGGTAGGTCTTTGCGGGTGTAGACCCCCGCTGGTCGGGCCGTGCGGTGAGTCCTGACTCGGGAGGGGTAGGTTCGCCACACCTCTGCGTGTGTGGACCCCGGTGTGGTGGGTGGCAGCACGAAGGGAAGTCAGCCCGACCCCAGCCCCCCCCCCCCCCCCCCCCCCCCTGAGGAAGACAGGGTCTGCCCGCGTGTAGACCATGTGCTGGGAGGCGGGTGCGCGTGCGGCCGGCGTGCAGTGTCGGGCAGGAGGGGCCCCGAGGGCCGCGTGGCAGGCAGGGCAGGCTTCCTCGCGCCCTCCGCCCTGCCCTGCAGGGCCATGAACGCCAGCCAGGTGGAGGCGCTGGGCATCCAGATGCTGCCGGGCTACCGGGACCCCTACCACGGCCGGCCGCTCACCAAGGGCGAGCTGGGCTGCTTCCTCAGCCACTACAACATCTGGAAGGAGGTGGGTGCCCAGGGCCGGCCGGCGAGTCACGACGCGGGGTCTCGGGGATGGGGCGCCGAGGGAGGGAGGGAGGGAATCCCCCTTCCCCCAGCTGGGCTCTGCAGTGCGTGCTGCTGGGGGGTGGGGCCTCCGTTGTGCAAATGGGGAAACTGAGGCTGGGAGGGGGCAGGACGAGCCCCAGAGGCAGCGTCTGGGGCCAGGGACCCCCGCGCATAGCCCCTTCACTCCCGCCTGGCTCCGTCTCCACGTTTGCCGTGACGGTGTGGCGACCTGGGCCGGCCGGGCGTGCCGGGGGCGCCCCTCACCCAGGGCTCCCAAGGGAGAGGCCTCGAGGGACGAGGGCGTCAGGCTGGAGGTCACACTTGCGCCCGTCGGACGTGAGGCCACATGGGGGTGTCCGGCGGCAGAGTGGCAGGGGCCGGTGGCCCTCCTCCTTGACGCTCGTTCCTCGTGGGTGGCGCTGCGCAGGGGACAGGGGGGCGCACGGCCTGGCGCCAGGAGGGGAGGGAGCGCCCGCTTCGCTCCAGGCGGCCCGAGCCTCTAAGCGAGCGCTGGCTTTGGGGACGGGTGGGGCCTGGGTCTCCCGGTGACCTGCAGGGCTTCCCCCGCAGGTGGTGGACCGGGGGCTGCAGAAGGCGCTCGTGTTTGAGGACGACCTGCGTTTCGAGATCTTCTTCAAGAGGCGCTTGATGAACCTCATGCGGGACGTGGAGCGGGAGGGCCTGGACTGGGACCTCATGTGCGTGCGGCCCTGGGCCCGGGCGGGGTGGGGGCGTGGCTTGACTGGGGTGGGGTGGGACTGGGGGCGTGGCCAGAATAGGACTGGCAGACCTGGGGGCGTGATTTGGCTGGGTGGGTGTGACTGGGGGCGTGGCCAGAACGGGACCAGCGGGCCTGGGGGCGTGGCTTGGCTGGGGTGGGTGTGACGGGGTGTGGCCAGAACAGGACCGGCAGGCCAGGGGCGTGGTTTGGCTTGACTGGGGGCGTGGCTAGAACAGGACCAGCAGTCCTGGGGGCGTGGTTTGGCTGGGTGGGACTAGGGGCGTGGTCAGAACAGGACTGGCAGACCTGGGGGCGTGGCTTGGGTGGGGTGGGCTTGGAGGCGTGGCCAGAACCTGGCCTGCTGGCCTGGGGTCGGGGTAATGGACGTGGCCAGCTCTTAGGAAAACAGCCGTAGGGCTCTGATCCCTGGGTCAGGGAGCACCATGAGGGGTGTGGGCTGGGCCGTGGGAGGGTGACCCGCAAGTCCGGCCGGCTAGAAGCCTCAGGCTTGGTCAGGGCTTGGAAACTCAGACTGAGGCCTGTGGATGGAGGGGGGGTGGCTAAGATTTGACCAGGGGGTGAGGGTGTGGTTGATTAGCATGGGGGCGTGGCTTGGGTGGGGTGGGGCTGGGGGCGTGGCCAGGGAGCCCGGGTCTTAGCTCAGGCCGGCTTCAGGCTGGTACAGTGTCTTGAGTTCCGTGGGGCCCAGGCGTGTAACAGGGCGCAACTCTGCACCCCAGCTACGTGGGCCGGAAGCGGATGCAGGTGGAGCACCCCGAGAAGGCCGTGCCCCGCGTGAGGAACCTGGTGGAGGCCGACTACTCCTACTGGACCCTGGCCTACGTGCTCTCCCTGCAAGGCGCCCGCAAGCTGCTGCGCGCCGGGGCGCTTGGCCAAAAGGATGCTTGCCGTTTGACGATTTTCCTGCCGTCATGTTCGACAAGCACCCAGTGTGAGCCGGGGGTGCGGCAGGCGGGCTGGGGGGCGCGTCCCGCCGCGTGTCCGTCCTGGGGGGGGTGAGACTTGCGGCCCGTTTGCCCCCACCCTGTCTCCATGCGTCCCCCTCCCCCGCTCTGTCTCCGTGTGTGCCTCCCCCTACTTCTTCTTCTTCTTATTTTTTTTTTTTTGAGACCAGTTCTCCACTCTGTCGCCCGGGCTACAGCGCCGTGGCGTATCGCCTCAGCTCACAGGCAACGCTCCAACTCCTGGCTCAGCCATCCTTTGCCCTCAGCCCTCCCGAGTAGGCTGGGACTACAGGGCTAAGCGCTGGGCTAATTTTTTTTACTTTTTGTAGAGACACGGTTTTGCTATGTTGTCCAGGCTGGTCTCCAACTCCTGGGCTCAAGGGATCCTCCTGCTTCCCAAGTAGCTGGGACTACAGGCATGTGCCACCATGCCCAGCTAATTTTTTTTATACGTATATTTTTTAGTTCTACAGCTAATTGCTTTTTCTTTTTCCTTTTTTTTTTTTTGGGACAGAGTCCCGACTTGTTGCCAGGCTAGAGTGAGTGCCGTGGCGTCAGCCTCGCTCACAGCAACCTCCAAACTCCTGGCTCAAGCGATCCCCATGGGCCTCAGCCTCCCCGAGTAGCTGGGACTACAGGCATGCGCCACCATGCCTAGCTAATTTCTTATATATTATATTGTTGCGCATTAATTTCTTTCTGCTTATAGTAGAGACGGGGGTTCTTGCCTCTTGCTCAGGCTGGTTTCAAATCCTTGACTTTGAGCTATCTTTCCGCCTCGGCCCCCAGGTGCAGTGTTACAGGCGTGAAGCCACCGCGCCCGGCCTGTCCAGCTAATTTTTTTCTATTTTTAGTAGAGACAGGGATCTCGGCTCTCGCTCAGGCTGGTCTCGAACTCCTGAGCTCAAATGATCCTCCCACCTCGGCCTCCCAGAGCGCTAGGGTTACAGGCGTGAGCCACCGCGCCCGGCCTCTCCTGCCTACTCCTCCTGTCTCGGTCTCTTCCCCCGTCCCCTCCCCCGGACCCACCGCCGCCTCTCACCCCGCCCCCACTCCAGGTCCGAGTACAAGGCCCACTTCGCCCTCCGCAACCTGCGAGCCTTCTCCGCGGAGCCCCTGCTCGTGTACCCCGAACGCACTACACGGGGGACGACGGGTACGTCAGCGACACGGAGACCTCGGTCGTGTGGGACAACGAGCAGGTCAAGACCGACTGGGACCGCGCCAAGTCCCAGAAGATGCGGCGGCAGCAGGCGCTGAGCCGGGAGGCCAAGAACTCGGACGTGCTGCAGTCCCCGCTGGACAGCGCCGCCCGCGACGAGCTCTAGCCGGGCGCCCGGAAAGCCGCCGCCGCACCTGCGCACCTGCGCACCCGGGCGGGGCGGGGGGGGCTCCCCACGCAGGCTGGTGCCCCGCCCGCTCTTGCTCAGCAATCGTGCGCACACGGGCAGCATTAATGGAGTGCCTACTGCATGCCAGGAACAGGGCTTGGCACCGGGGGATTGGGCGGGACCGAGGCCTCGTCATCCACGATCACGAGCCCAGCGCTCAGTAAGCACCCACTGTGCGCCGGGTTCCTACAGCGCGACCGCGAAGGAGGCCTGAGCGTTCCCTCCCTCGGTGGACGATTTGGTCGTCGAGCGTTTATTGATCAGATTAAGCGCCAGGCACTAGTCTCGTGCAGGTATTTATTGAGTGCCTACTGTGTGCCGGGCCCTATCCCGGTCCTGGGGGCGTTAAGATAAATAAGACACTTGCCTTCATGTATTCAAACACATATTGAGCACCTGCTGTGTGCCTGGCACTTGGGACACAGGTGCATTCTTGATTCGGTGCACTTATTGAGTGCCTGCTGTGTGCACACGGGCGGTGAGCTGGGTGCCGGGGACGGAGGTAAACAAAGTGCCTTTCACTCTTTTGTTGGTTTCTCCCCCCCCCTCCCCCCCGACTCCTCAAGGGCCAGGCGCCGGTGAGTCAGAACGGCGGCGGCCGTTGCTCAGTGCGCACTTTTGATCGCCGTACGCAGGGCTGCCTGCCAGGTGCTGGGGCACGGAGATGAACGACATGAGTCTCTCCGAATTTTTTCATGCCACAAGCATTTTATTGAGCGCCTACTGTATGCCAGGCCTCCTGACTCCCAGTTGGGTGGAAGCATGGTCAATTGAATTTTTGTTCCTCCCGGTCCCCCCCCACCTGAGCTGTGTACAGGCCACACCCCCTGCTGCCCAGGAGGGAGGGCAGCTCCTCCCCCACGGGGGGCAGCCTCGGGTCCCCGCGGCCACAGGTGAGCCCCCCTGGAGGGGGCACAGGAGCGGGGGGCTGGGTCCCCCTCACCCAGCCTGGGTCCGTTCACTGGACGGCCCTGCCCTGCGTCTCAGGTGTGGCTCTGCCTGCTCGGTGGTGTTCGTCTCTCCGAGTCTTTGGTGGGACCACGTGTTCGGGGGCCTTGCGGGGACTCAGCCGCCCTGGGGCGCCGCCCGGCCCGGGCAGGCCGTTTCCCAGCGAGCGCTGGGGGACTCACTCCCAGCCTGCGCTGAATGTCACAGCCCTCGGTGCTGCACCGTCGGGGCTACTTGCTTATTTTTGTATTAAACGTTCCTGGTTGGTTTTCACTGAGGTCTGCGGCCTTGCTCACTGCCTCCCACACTCCTCAGCGCCGGCTGCCCGCCAACGGGTGGGAGGGGAGCAGGGTGGACGCCATGGAAAAGCTGGCAGCGGCCCCCGAGCCCAGCGCGCCCCATAAAACTTGCCTGAAATAGCACGGGGGGCAGGCCGGGCACGGCGGCTCACGCCTGTCATCCCAGCACTCTGGGAGGCCGAGGCGGGAGGATTGCTGTCGATGTTTCGGAGTTCAAACCAGCCTGAGCAAGAGCGAGACCGTCTCTACGTGAAAAAGAAGAACATATGTATATCAGCCAACTAAAAATATACGAAAAATAGTCGGCATCGGTGGCTGCATGCCTGTAGTCAGCTACTCAGGAGGGCTGAGGCATGGAGAGTATCGCTTGAGCCAGGAGTTGGAGGTTTGCCTGTGAGCGATGGCTGACCCATGGCACTCTGGCTGGGCATGACGAGGAGAGCCTATCCAAAGAAAAAAAACCAAACAAGTAGCACGGGCAACAACAGCAACACATCACGCCATCTCGAGTCACCTGCAGGCGTGCCCCAGACGACTTGGAACGAGAGTGGGGACTGTCGTGGCCTGGGTCCCCAGAAAACAGCCCCGGATGGAGAGGCGAGGTCGTGTGAGTGAGGAGCCCGCCGCGGAGCGCTCACAGCGCGGCTGAGAAAATTGCGGCGGGGGTTGGGGCCAATGACCAATGAGCAGGTAACTCCGCGGCGCCGGGACCTCACCAAGCGCACGGAGCTCACGCCGGAACGGCGGCCACGGAGAGGGCCCGGGCGGTCCCCACGCCCGCCACGCTGGGCCTGAGTCGGCGTTGTGTGTTTCTCAGGGTTATGAAGCCGCTCGTAGGTCACACCGGCGCTTTTAATAACTCGCACGCCACGGTGGGCGGTCATGTGAGAAAATCAGAGCTTCAAAGGACAGACAAAGGGCCGGCCGGCGACCACGCTGTCACCCAGCATCTGGGAGGCCAAGGCGGGTGGATTGCTGGACGGTCAGGAGTTCCGAACCAGCCTGAGCAAGAGCAGACCCGTCTCTACTAGTATAATAGAAAAAATTTAATTGGCAACTTAGATATATATAATATATAATGGAGCCGGCATGGTGGGCACAGCTTAGTCCCGAGCTACTTGGGAGCTGAGGCAGAGATGCCTTGAGCCCAGGAGTCTGAGGTCTGCTGTGAGCGAGGCTGACGCCACGGCACTCCTCTAGCTGGGAACAGAGGAGACTCCTCGTCTCAAAAAAAAAAAGAGGGTGGTGGTGAGTTGAATTAGGAGCCTGTGTCCTTGCCTTTGTACACTCTTTCTTGAGCCGGACCAGCAGTCTTCCCCGTGTCCTGGATTCAAATCCCAGCTCCACCCCTCCCCGGCTGTGTGATCTGCGCCTCAGTTTCCTCCTCTGTACGACGGGGGCAGCGCGAGAGGCGGAGGAGCCACACGCGTGTGCAGTCCGCGCGGAAAACCGGAGTTTTATTCGCCGTTAGGGGAAGGCAGGGAGACCAGCACGCGGGCCACAGCCGTGTGGGCTTTTCCTTTTCTTTTTTCTTTTTTTTTTTTAATGTCTGCTGTTAATAAAATATTTTTACAGAGACCAAAAAGTCGGAGTAGTGCAAAACATCTCAACACCATGCATCCATGACCACTTCTCGTTTGTTTTAAACATTTGTTCCAAGTCACGTATTTACAGAGAGATGAGGGCATCTGTGCCGACGCCGGGGCGACAGGGTGTCATTAAAAAAAACCGAACCGAACCGAAAAGAACGAACAACATACCGAGTTCGCGTTCCCAGTCACATGCTAAGAGGAGACGAGCGGAGGGGCGGCCTCGGGGACCGCTCCGGCGCGGGGGCTGGGGCGGGGGTTTTGGGGGCCCTCCCGGCCGTGTGGCCAGGGGTGCATGGGGGGCCCTCCGCCACTGCGGCCGGGCAGGGCCGGGGCGCGGGCGCCACTCGGTTTCGCTCTCTAGAACGGGAAAGGCAGGGGAGGAGAGCGAACACGGGTCAGCGAAGACAGCTTTGGTCCGTAACGATTCTTAGGGGCGGGGGCTCGGGAGCAGGCGGCCCCTCCCCGGAGGCCAGCAGGGCGCCCCGGCGGTCCCCACCGCCGCCCCGCCCCGGCCCTGGGTGTCCCCGCCTGCAAAACGGCCGGCCCGGGCAGCGGCGGGGCGCGGAAAGGCTCTGAGGTCCCGGAGAAGTCGCGGGGGTTCCCGGCTGGGTGTCGAGTTTTTTGCATCTCTGATGGGGCGGGGGGCCGGGGCGGGCTCGGCTCCGGGGCTGCGGGGGGGGGTGGTGGCGAGGGCGACCCGGGCGCCTCCCGCCTTTCGCGCGGGTCCCGAGAACGAACCCCGCCCTCCCCCGTCCCTGCGTCTCTCTCCATCTCAAAGTCCCCGTCTGCTTGGGGGCGCGAGGTCACCCCGGCCCTGTGCCTGTCCTCCGTCCCTGCCCCCCTGGGAGCGGTGTTGTGCTTTGCGTCTGTCCCAGGGGTCCCTCCCCGCCACCCCGCCACGGGCTGCCGCGCCTGTGTCCCTCCCCTGACCTGTGGAGACCCGGGCTGGCTCCTTGCACCAAGCGAGGCCCGAGGCCCAGCCAGGGCACGGGACCCCGGGGTGCCCCGGGGGTGGCGGCGAAAGTCCAGAGGTGTCATCGGAGACCGGGCTCTGCCGCCGCCGGCTCCTCTGCGGCCCCCCCCAGTTGTGCCAGTACGGGGGGAGCTTCTTCCTGGTTCCAGAATGCGTCCAGCTCTCTCTTTTCCCCTTGCTCCGCGCGCTGTGTCCTGCGGCTCCGCCCGAACCCGGCTCAGACTCCGTCTGGGCGCCCGGGGCCTCGAGGGGCGAGCGGTTGGGAAGGACAGACACGCGCGCGCACGCGCAGTCACTCGACCGCCCCGCCCCCAACCCCTAATCCAACTAGGCGCGTCCTCCCTGCGGTTCCCCTGCGCCCAGCCCGCGCTGGGTAAAGTCAGAGCTCCAGAGAGGCCTCGGTCCCCAGTCTGGGAGAAAGAGAGCCGGACACAGACACCCCCAGTCCCACGGCATCAGGGCTAGACCAGAGAAGGGACAAAAGCTGGGGAAGTCCTGAGGAGGAGGAGGAGGGACGGTTTTCTACAAGAGGGGATATTTGTTATGGGCTTTGGAGGATGAGTAGGAGTTCTCTGGGGAAAGAAAAGTGGGAGGAAATGTCAAAAACAGTTCTAGCCCGGGAGTCAGAAAAATACTCCCTGAAGCTCCCTCCTCGTGCCTAGGCCAGTGCTGTGGAACCCTACACACACACACACACACACACGCACACACACACACACACACACTTGACCAGAAAGGCTCCTAAGGAATCTTTTTGGCAATATCTTGGCTCTCTCAGGCAGCCCAGCTCCTCCTTCTCCTTCCGGCCATCCACAAATCTCTCGGAGCCCACGCCAGGTCACAGGCCACCTCTGCTGTTGCATTGCTGGTGTGCTCAAACCTGAGCCACCCCACCCGCGAAGCCACACTCCCACACCTGGCATGGTCTGGCCTTCCAATCTGCCCCCGGGGCCATGTTGACAGCCACTCTAAGCTCCCCCTTTGCTCCCGGCTGGAATCCTCCAATCCGGCCTCCTAACCCTTGGTTCGCAAGCCCGCATTTCCCCATACCTGCCCAGGTGCGGGGCAGGCACAGAACCTTCCCATCAGAGACTGGGGCCGCTTCTCCCGGACGCTCGGAATTCCCATTTCGGGGAAACCATCTCCATAAACACACAACGCTCAGCGCCTGGGGTTTGCGTGCGGCCTCCGCCTTAGAGAGGCCAAAGCCTTGGGCAGTGCACAGCTGGGACGGCTGTACCCAGCGGCCCGGGGCTCGCCTAAGGGCAAAGGGGTTTTGTCTTCCTCTTCATGGAGCCTCCAGGCTCTCTCTCCAATAATCAGTTTCTGTAACCCCAAAGCACCCCCACCCCCTCCTCATTGTCCCCTCTCTCTGGGGCTCCTGCCTTGTGGGTGGTTCCTTCACCTCTCACCTCCGAAAGCCTCGGCGTCTGACCGATGGGGTGCCCATCCCCCTGGGGGTCGTTCCTCGAGTCTCTCCCAGCCCGGCGTGGTCCTGTGCTTGCCCACCCGAAAGAAGAAACCGTGTCACCTGCCCCCGGGTCCGGCGTGGACAAGCAGGTCGGGGACAAAGACAGGCCAGGCCGGACTTTCTGAAGGGCCTGCCCACACGGCTCCCTCGCCAGGTGAGCCCAGCTCGGGCGGCGGGAGGAGGAGCTGCGGGCAGGCAGCGCCCCAGCTGGGCCGGGCCTGTGGCCGGCGTTGGAGCGAATGAACGAGATTTTGGAGACTAGGCCCCGAGCGTGTCTGTGCTCTCTCATTCTCTCTCTCTCTCTCTCACACGCACACACATGCACGCACACGCATACACGCGCCCCTAGAGTTCCTGGTCTTTCCTGCCTGGACAATTCTGGGAAAGGAAGAAGGGATGGGGGAACCTGGGCCCAGGGGACCCCACACCCTCACTCTCCTCTGGTGGGAGGTCAGGAGTTCTCGGGGCACCCCCGAGGGGCTCCAGGAGAAGAGGCTGAGGGCAGGGGTCTTGCTGGGCAGCCAGAGGAGGATGGGTGCGATGGGGGCCTGGGCCCAGGACCCCCACCCCTTGGGGGAAGGGCCCCTGAGGTGGGGGTTAGCAGCAATGGGCAGCCGTGTCGGGTCACCCGACCTCAGCCCGCCCTTCCATGGGGCACTCGGGCCTAAGGGACCGGGGACAGGGTATGGCACTGGGAACCTCGGCCGAGTCTCAAGCAGCTCTCTTGGCCTCAGTTTCGCCATCCGTCAAATGGGTGCGTCGAACTCCACGATGTGAGGACTGGGTTCTCTGGGGGAGAGGGGGACGCAAACCCCCAAGGGGAAGTAGGGGCGGCGTGGGTGCCCCAGAGCCGTCCCCTCGGCCTCCAGGGTTTGGGCGCCCGAGGGCGCATGTGCTTTTGAAATCCCATCCTCCCCCTCACCCCATGTATTTTTTGCGCAGACGTCAAAGAGGGGGACTGGGGTACTCGGGGCCCTCCAACCAGCGACCTGGTCCGCCCAGCCCCCACCCCCTCGGGGGGCGCTCGCCCAGGGCCCCCCTCCAGGAGCCCAGAGTTCCGTCCTTGGCAATGGGTCTCGGGCCCCGGGGGCTTGGGGCCCGTCGTATGGCTTTTCCAGGGGACAGGAGGCGCGGCCTTCCCGCGGCAGAGCCCCGGGACGTGGCTCCTCCAGAGATGGGGTCCCCCGGCACCCCAGCTCCACCGGCCCCGGACGGCGGGGGCGTGGCCTCCCGAGGGGCGGAGCACGGGCCCTGCCCAGTTCCCCAGAGGGGCCGGCTAAGCCCAGGGCGCAGGCGCAGCCCGCCCCCAGGAGGCCCCGCCCCGCGAGCCCCGCCCCGCCCCGCCCCGCGCGCCGCGCAGGCGCAGTGTCGCCCGCTCCCTAAGCGCGCCGGCGCAGGCGCAGTGTCGCCCGCCCGCCCACGCGCGCCGCGCTAAGGCGCAGGCGCGGCGCCGCCCTCCTCGGCGGAGCGCGTGTCCGACTTGAGCTTGACGAACTCCTTGGCCACCTCGTCGTTGCTGCGCTGCGACAGGATGCGCAGCACCGTGAGCCCCGTGTCGTCCATGTGGATGCGGCGGCCGAGCGGCAGCCAGCACGCGGCGCTCCCGCGCTGGGCCAGCTCGCGCAGCTGCAGCACGGCCAGCCCCACCGTGCGGTCCTCGCGCGCGAAGCAGTAGTCCTTGACGCACACCTGCAGCTCGTAGCACTCGGGGCCCGCGTCGGCGCTCAGCGTGCTGCGGGGGGCGGGGGGCGGGGCGTGAGGAAGGCCACGCCCACCCGGGTGCCCCCAGGCCCCGAGTCTCCTGCACCCGGCTAGCCCCACCCTGCCCAGCTGACACGCCCTGCAACCTGTGCTGGGCCACGCCCACAACGGGTGCCCCCTGACCCCGTGTCTCCCGCCCCAGGCTAGCCACGCCCTGCCCAGGTGACACGCCCTGCAACGTGCCATGGGCCACGCCCACACGGGTGCCCCCAGGCCCCGAGTCTCCTGCACCCGGCTAGCCCCACCCTGCCCAGGTGACACACCCTGCAACATGTGCTGGGCCACGCCCACAACAGGTGCCCCCTGACCCCGTGTCTCCCGCCCCGGGCTAGCCACGCCCTGCCCAGGTGACATACCCTGCAACCTGCCATGGGCCACGCCCACCCGGGTGCCCCCCAGGCCCTGAGTCTACCAGCACCCCACTAGCCCCACCCTGCCCTGCCCAGGTGACACGCCCTGCAACCTGTGCTGAGCCACATCCACGCCAGGTGCCCCCAGGCCCCGTGTCTCCCGCCCCGGGCTAGCCCCGCCCCTGCCCAAGTGACACGCCCTGCAACCTACGCTGGGCCACGCCCACACCTCGGTGATTATGCTGCCAGGTCTGTCCCCCTCTCCCTTCACACCCGCCCAACACCACCCCCATGGGCTCACATACCCCCTCCGCGGCCCCCCACGTGACCCTTCCCTCAGGTCCCCCCACCCTGTCCCTTGGGCGGCCATGCACCCCGGCACCCTGCACCTGTGCCCTCCGCCTGCCGAACTGCTGCCCCCCCCAGAGGTCCCACCCAGACGTCCCTTGACGGCGTTCCCACCAGAGCTCAGGGTCTCCCCGGATGTGCCCTCCCCCATGCCCCCTAGCCGACCCTTGCCCAGGATGCCCCCCTCCAGACATGACCCTGCCGGGTGCCCCACCACGAGTGACACTGCGTTCCCACCCTCAGCACCCTCTGAGTGACCTCCCGGCCGCTGGCTGAGCGAGAGCCCTGTTCTAGGCCACGCCAGCCACGCGGCTGCCTCGTGTCCCCTCCCAGGTTGCTTCTATCCCCAAGTACTCCGGCACACCCCGGGTGACATCCGCTCCTCCCGGCTAGCCCGTAAGCATTCCCGGTCACCCCACGCCCTCCGTCCAAGAGCCCTGTCCTGGACCTGGTGGTGGTCTGTCTTTTTTTCTTGTTTTGGAGACAGAGTCTCACTCTGTTGCCCGGGCTAGAGTGAGTGCCCTGCGTCAGCCTGCTCACAGAACCTCAACCTCCTGGGTCAAGCGATCCTCCTGCCTCAGCCTCCCGAGTAGCTTGGACTACAGGCATGCGCCACCATGCTGGGCTAATTTTTCTATATATTGTCAGTGTGCCAATTAATTTCTTTCTCTTATAGTAGAGACAGGGTCTCGCTTTTGCTCAGCTGGTCTCCAACTCCTGACCCTGGAGCGTCCTCCCCTCGGGCCTCCCGAGAGCCGGATGACAGCGTGAGCCACCTCGCGGCTGCCCCGCGTCTTGACCTCTAGAGCGCCCACCCTCCCTAGGCGACGCCAGCTATGACAGCCCGACTAAAGCCCTCCTGACTTCAAGTGGCCATCGCCGTGGGGCCACCTCCACCCAGTGGCGCCCACGCCCTGCCCTGGAGACACTCCATTCCTGTCTCCCAGCCCCGACCCTCACGGTGGCCTGCCCCAGCAACCCCGACGCACTGCGTCCAGGAGGCCCAGCCTCCAGACCTCACTCCTGCCCACCACGTCCCTAGCCCCTCACCCACAAGCCTATCATGACCCCCAGCTCCTTAAAAGACCGTGGCAGTCTCAGCCCAGAGACGGTACTTCTCCCTGTCACAGTGATGCTGACCCCGTCCCTTCGCCCCGTGCCCATATCACGCTCACTGTCTCCTGGGCCCTGCTGCCCCTCGAGTGCATTTCATCGTGGTGTGGCCCCTTTCCTGCCCTAAGGTGCCTTCCTCTCCCGCCTCCCCCGCCAGGCGCGGCCCTCCGTCCCTGCACCCAGGAGCCACCGGCCCGCAGCCCCTTCCTGCCTCTGAGGTCCACCTGGCAGGTGGCCCTCCCCCGTCCCCACGCTCCTCCCGACCCCCGACTCAAACTGGAAGCTCTCGTTGTACTTGGGGCCAGCTGTTGTCTTGGATTTGGTGCAAACTTGCGTTCTTGTCGCTGAGGGGCCCGATGATGTCCCTGACCTCGATGAACGCGGAAGATGCAGAAGTTGCACTTGAGGTCGTTGGCAGCCACCACTGTTGGGGGGAAGCAGATCAGACCGGCCAGGGGGCCCCAGCGGCTCTCCTTGTCATAACCTGCTGAAATTGAGACCGACATTTTTCTTTTCTAGCACGGCCCCCGCGGCTACGTGGCACTGACTGCCTTCTTCTGGGCGGAAGAAAGGAGCCGGAACTTCTCCTTCCCCTAGCTCAGCTGCAGATGCCGTGGAGGCTGACGCTTTAGACCCTGTAGAGGGGGGAAGCCACTAGCGGACTAGATGCAGAGAAAGATGGCAGAGGCATCGCCACAGATCCTGTGGCACTGTTTGCATCCTGGTCCAGCCTATGCGGCTGAAGGTGCTGCCTCTGGACTTTCTCAGTTTTATATTCCCGGCGACCGATTTGGAAAGGCCCCCAGCGGAGCGCCGGCCTGTCCGTCCCGCCCAGCCGCTGTGCTCGAGTGAAGCTACGGCGGACAGGAACGAAGCAGGAGACAAAAGAAAAGGGGAGAGAGAGAATTTTGACAGATGGAGTCCCTCTGTGTCCCGTCCCCCACGCCGCGGCGTGCCCTTCCCGGGCCTCGGGGCTGTTCAATCATCGGTC